TTCGCAGACAGATCCAATGAATCTATTCAATTATTATTAATGTATTATATATATATATATATATATATATATATATATATATATATATATATATATATATATAATACAATATAAAATATAATATGGTATATTGTAAAAGAAAGCTGTAAACACCCGTGCTTAAAAGGTGCAGTCAAAAAAAAGCGCTCAGTACAAAATTCACAAAATTTTGAGTTGTAGAGCAAAATGTAATTAGGAACACCAAAACTCCAGCTAACATGCTACGTAGGTATTGACCAGTAGGTATCCTTAGGCAGGTAGAATGAAAAATTTTAGTTTATTTCACCACCATTATATACGAACACCGGAAGTTAGGGGAAAAAGACGGTTGACGGGTAAGGAGTGGGTGAGGGAAACTATTTTCATCTAGGTTCGTACATACACAGTAAATATTTACTAAGGTGTCTGCATTTGGATAACACTTCCGATATTTTACTTAGCAGTTCGTCCTTATTTGTGTATATGTCAATTTTCAATTTTTCTTCATGGCATTCTTTACACTAACTTCCTTGGACTCCTCCCGGATTCACTTTTTTGATGATCTTCCACTTTATGTGTGGGACTCTACCATTAACTTCCTTCAGCCTCCAAACACAATTTGCCAGTTTTGTGTCATTTCTATGGCTCTCGAGCCTAAAAGATGTAGTATGGTTGTAATATCTCATATTAAATTGGCCCTCTGTGCAACCAATATAGGTTTTATTAAAATTATTGGCGTTACTGACCTCGGCTGAATAAACAACACCCTCTATTTGGCACTGGCTGTCCAAAGATCAAATATTACTATCTCTGCAGTTACATGGTTTCGTTTTTATTTCCCCAACTCTTTCTACTTGTAATAATCTGGTGTTGTGGCTTTTTATAGTGTTTAATAAGTTACTTGTGCAACTGTAGCTGAACTTTACTTTATTCCTGTTGAACATCTTACCTTAGAGTTTCTTGGGAAATTCTTATACAAAAGCTTAAAAAAAACTGTACCCCACCACCACCTTTCAATGTTACTTAGTAACAGTGTATTACGCACCTCCTTTTCTTTCAAGACCGGTTCTTGCAACAATGCAAGAATTTAATATTAAATATTCCTTAAGGAATATGCCTATACCTAGCAGACACGATTATAAGCTTGCCTTGTTGAACAAAATCCTTCCTAGATAAAATGAGGTGGAAAGCACTTTTTAATTATACAAATATATCAGAAAACACGAAGGTGACGACATATATCACATTGGCCCCACGAAATATCCACCTGTCGTAGAGGAGTTGTCCAGCTTTGAAAAAGACCTGTTAGACATTATGGACATATTACAATTCAAAAGAACGAAAACTAGCTTCCAAGAAAGTATTGGCAAAAGTGAAAGTTATCAAAGAAACAAAAAAGTACTAATAATGGGCGACAATACAAAAAAAATATACTTAATGAGCCCAGACAAATATAAAAGGAAGATTGCCATTTAGATTACGAAACTTTATAAGAAAGCTCCAAGATGAAACCAAAAATAAATCAAATAAACTGTGTATTAGTATCAAATTTCATACCCTATACGAAAAGGATTCATTCCTTACGGTAAAAGACCACAAAGATGATTTTCACAGCCATCCTTCCTTCGTCTCATAAACCCGTCTAAAATGGAGCTAGGCGTCATCAGCCGAGTTATTATCTAAAACATCTGAGTTATCAGTTATTTCCTATTAATTCCCCTTTCCAAGTTAACCGGGTATTGAACTCACACTCTTTGCAATATGAGCTCTGGTAAAAACATGAAATGATAACAGCAAAAATTACAATATGAGCACTGGTAAAAATGGTTGCTGAGACATTAGGTTTATAATACCCAGAAATTCATACACAGATGCTCTCAAGGACACATAGCACAGTGGATAAAGATGTTTTGGAGAACTTTCAAGAGATAACTGATAACTTACATCGATTGAAACGTGGCACGTGGAACTAGAACAGTCCACCCCAGTAAGCGAAATAAAGGGGTTCAATTCTACATTCCAACCACCTGAAGAAGAGCGTACAACGCAACTTTGTAATAAATATGGCGACAAAGATGAGGACAATAGTCCGAATAATGTAAATAATGTACAATTCAGGGTTGGTTATGGCCGCTAGTACTAAAGCAGTAGAAGGTTAACAGACGGTTAGAAGGTTCAGACAGTTATCCTTCTTAAAGACTGGAGCTACAGAAGAGGAAATCAAAAAGCAGAGATTAGAGAGAATAGGGGCCAGTTCAGGAGCAATGTCTAATGTCTACATGCTTTGTGGGCGTCCAGTTTAATGATGATAGCAGAAACCAGTCCCTTAGAGCGATATTCTTTTCTTCGGTATAATGTATGTGCATATGCACAAAGCCTATTACTTTGCGAAGTAACATGATACTTATAGTTGTAATGAATTTCTAAAATACATTACCAATATTAGTTATAATACTAATGTGGTTTGCCAGGAATAGAGAAAATAGCAACGAATTAAAACAAAGTCAAATATTTCATATGAATACGAGAGAAAAATTCTTTATAGATGAATGAATTCTTTTCTGTTTCTTAACCTTTTCAATAGTTAAATATGAGGAAATGAAGGTGATTTGACATGATAGTCTCCTGTGGATGACTTGACCCCTAAAATAACTTTTCCCTCGCTATGCATGTATGATTGTGGGTCTGGTGTTACCTCACAATGCTATTCATGTTCTGCAATAATAAATCAGATAAACATGCAGCTTAAATAAAGATTTCTATGTAATAATTGGGAAGTATTTGTTAACTAGCTTACAGGAGGGTATCGGTCGTCCTCGTGTGTACGTTTATGACAATGGACTCATTGTTTATTGCTTTTTCAAAAGAAAGGCCCGGAAAAGGTGAATAAGAGCCGAGACATGAATACAACATTCTCGATAACAAACCAGAATTTTTCTGACTGAGCAAAACTGATTCTGAACAGAAGTTTAATATGGAAGAGATGCTGAGAGAATTATGAGAAAAACATAAAAAAGGAAAATGCTGAACTTGACGATGGGAAGGAAAAAACTAATTTCGGAACAATGGAACAAATTCGACATAATAAAATATTTTAATATGATAAAAGAATATGAAGTGTAAAAGATACGCTGAACAAGGAATAATTTACTGCAATATATAAAAACTGACAGTATCAATGAACTGTAGGCAAGCAGGAGAAAAGATAGTTAATGAAAAGTTTTATGTTTTCAGAAAAGTCAGAGCAGTGAAAATGTTAAAAACAAAAATAGAAAACAAATACGTGGAGAAGCAAAATCAAAAAATATCATCCTATCACATGATGAATTGAAAAAATTCTGAAACCTTCAAAAAACGACTAGCAGCTGTAATAGAAGAAATAATTAAAATTAATTCAGTAATAAAGACAAAAAGAATAGGCGTTGGCCAACATTACTGGGAGAAAAGTTGATTTAATTGGTAATTTTGATTTTTTAACTTGCGCATCAAAATAAACCCAAAGTAATCTATAAAAAAATTAAGATAATATGTTATATTTATTCATTTATTTTCGATCATATGAACTATTTTTTCATTATGAATAAATATAAATTTGTTTCAGAATTGGTGTTAAAGATGAAAACTCATTAAGGAACATTAAATTATTTTCTGTTCTGGGATAAAACTACGTCAAGTTTATGCTTTCTCTACTGAAAATTGAGTTTAAATGTTGATCTATTAATTCTAAAACCGAGCGACATGCAAATTTAAAATGTATTATTATATATTGTACTGAAACTAATTCTTTGAAAGGCATTTTTTATAAAAGTTACTTTTCACTCTGTATATTTGTCGTTGCATTTGAAAAAATATATAACTCCAGAAAGTTCATCAATTTCATCTATAGCAATAATGGATGCCAATAGTCATGTCATGATATATCTATATAAAATTATTTGGCAATTAGTGTCATAGTTGGGGAACAAAAGTTGTTAAAAATTAACCAGTATTATCTATTAATCATATACATAATCGTCATTATTAAGAATGACAAACGCTCATTATGAAATCGTTTAGCTATAGCATATTTCATCATGAAAATCTTTTCTTATAATTATTTGTGAGTAATCCTTAACTTAGGTCTATTTTTTATCGACCGCTTCCGATAATGGCACTCCACAAATTGTGGCCCTGAGCAGTTTTTCAACTTTTTCTAGGGCACCTGCCCATTCCACATTTCATTCACACAAGCTCATCAGCTAAGTGGCTCGGTGCCTTCCCATATTTTTCTTGCTCTAAATATGTCTCTTTCAGGAAAAGACATGTTCATCAACAGGATGTATAAAGTCCAAGGATGGAACGCTGATATTAGAGACAGAAGAAATACTCCAGATATGGAACTAATATATCGGAGAACTATTCCACGATGAAATATCGTCGCCCTAGAAATATTAAAATCTAAAATGGAATGCACTGTCCACATTGAACAGAAATAAAGCGGCAGGACCAGAACGAATTCTAACTGTGGTGCTGGAGGTCTTACATGATTTGGGCACAGACAAGATGACATTATTAATAAATGAAACCTACAACAGTGGGAAGACTTAAGTAGATCTATAACATGGGCGCCCCGGCTCGATCTTGGGTTGTTCCCATGCTGGTCAGTACTGGCGTTGGACAACTGATGGTTAATTGTTGACCGCTTTGTTCCTTCTTCTGCTCTGACCACGTCGTGTTTTTTGATGACAGTACAGTTGAGATCGAACTTTGGTCCGCACTTAGACGCTGAATCGAGTTGCGGGGAACCATACTATAAAAAAGGAAAAAAAAATACTTCCGCCGGTGAAAACACAAATATCATGACGAATAACGAAGAAGGCCGTTGGGTTCATTTTCATTGCATTTATATACTACAAGAAAATTAACTATCCCTATCCGACTCTCTATCGTGACACTATATCTCTTGCTTCTAAAATTTAGAGCAGATTAAATATTCACACGAGATGTTAGGTCGTCGGGACTTCTCGTCATCAATTCTCTTGTCTGTTTCCACCTCAGCAATTCTCTTTTCTGTCTCAACGTCAGGAATTCTCTTCAGCAGCATTTCTCTCAGCAGCAGGTTATATTGCTTCTGCCGGTGTCTATCGGCCATCACCGGGTCTTGGTACCTCTGTTGGCCTCTGGTCGATTCTCGCTCAACTGCGTCTACTCCTTGCTTCAACATGGCATTCGGTTTCAAATGCATTTCGCCTAACTCTCACTACCACTCAAAGCTCATTACGTATTCATCAATTAATTATTTTCTCCACCTCTGGAGACATGACACTGACTCTAAACAAAGCGGTCTGGTATTTCAAAATAATAAACTCCTTTCTTTTCCTAAACAATAATTTCTCGTCAGTAAATTTTATTTCAAATCATCCGTTTCTTTTCTTTGTCGATTTACCAAAATAATACTTTCTTCATTTTCAAAACACACTTCAGAAAACTTACATTTCTCCAAAACATATTTTGGACTCCACATTCCATTCGGCATTTTCTTTGTTTACATTTTTGAATTCATCAAAATTCGCATTCTTGCCTTGAATGATATTCAATTAACAAAACAGCCAACTGAAATTATTTCTTTTGTCTGACTAAACACAATATCATTTCCTGTTTTCCGCTTTAACGTTTTCGTGTTTAACGTTTTCAACTCTTCCAATGCTTCAACTTTACACGGGATTTTTACTTGAACCATTTTAATCCTATTTTCATAGCACCAGTGTCACGATAGTGTCACATTCATTTGAACTACTACCAATGACCGTGTCACAGATCTATTTTATAGCACTGCCCAAGAAGCCAGGTGCAAACGAATGTGAACGGACAATCAAATTTATGAGCCATATAACGAAATTTATTATCCGAATTCTGATGAATCAGACTGCAACAGAATCAGAACGGATATAGGACAGGGAATGCGCTGTTTCGTCAAAGACACTAGAACAAGGAACACGATATTTATGCTAAGAATATTATCAGAAAGAGTAATATAAAATGCAGAAGAACGTTTTATAGATTACGCAAAGGCGTTCGATAAAGTACGCCATAAAGATCTGTTGAAACTGCTCAATACATCTGGGAAGCATATTAGAATAATCAAGAACCTATACTGGCAGCAAACTGCCTGGATACGGATAGGAAATGCATTCAGTAGATATGCAAATATGGAAACGGGTGTAAGACAAGGTTGTGTTTTCTCACTGGACTTATTCAACCTATACAGCGAGTTGATTCTGAGAGGAGTAGAAGTCCTGCCAAGATTCATTATTGGCGGCCACAATCTCTACAACAAAAGGTATGCAGGTGATACTGTATTGATAGCAGATACGGAAAGAAAACTACAAAATCCCCTAAAGAAGGTAGTGAAGGAAAGCGAAAAGAAAGGGTTAAACATCAACTGTAAGAAGACAGAATGCATGGTTGTTAGCAAAAGGATGAACCCAAAGTGCGAATTGGAAACCGGAGATATCAAAATCAAACAAGTTCGAAAATTTAAATATTTAGGAAGTGTTTTAACAGAAGACGGAATGTGTGACACTGAAATCCGAAGATGTAAAGGGATAGCCAACGGTACATTCCAAAAGCTAAGAAGACTATTAACGTGATATCTTCCCCCCCCCACACCTGTATGGCTGTAAGTGCTGGACGATGAAGAGGCGACTTGAAACAACAGAAATGTGATTCTACAGAAGGATACTGAGGATAACATGGACCGAAAATATGGGCAATGAGAAGTTTTAGAAAAAAGGAAACAAAAAGGAAACATACTTAACATCAGAAGGGGACACTTGAGGTTTCTGGGGCACATAACGAGGAAGGACGCCTTGGAAAATCTTATACTCACAGGGCAGATAGAGAGCAAGAGGGACAGAATATGGTGCGTTTGAGTAAATGGATGTCGGATCAGAGTTTAGGAGAAATAAAATAAAGACAACGACATGATAGTAAAGCCATGATCGCCTACGTCATATGCTGACACAGCACATAAAGAAGAAAGAAGAAAGTAAAATTCTAGAGCGATCTTGTTCCATTCTTTAGAACCTCTTGCATTTCATTATTTGAAAAATCGCAAGTTGATAAATTTCATTTTGTGAGATGTTAATCAAATTTGTCCAGTTTTAGCTTCAGGGTTGCCGAATGTAATTTTGAAATCTCTTCTTTGGTGATTCATTACTTTTGAAATAAAAAAGATATTCGAAAATTTACCAATAATTGACTATATTTGTGTGATGTAATTTGAATTAAATTTTTGAATTAGTCTTGTAAATTGACTATGAATAAATGTTTACTTACCTAATGGACAAAATATTTTATAGCTTTATCCGTCACCTTCATTTCATCTGATTTCAACACTCAATATTACTTTATTATAATAAAAATATTTACTAGAACCAAGGCGAACGCATTGTGCTGTAAATTTTTTAATGCAACATTCAGTATTTCGTTCGACTGTTATTTTATATTCTGGATCATGTTGTGGATATACAATTGTTGGTTATACCATTTAATTTCAATCCAACTAACTGCATATATTTCAATTATAGATTTTATAAGGTTGAGATATAAAGCTTTCACTGATCACCGGAATGAAATTCCAACCGTCTAATTCTTAATTTAAACTTGATTTTTGAACTCGTTTCCTCAAAAAACGGTAACGATTTTGAAAAGAATGTGTATTATTTATCATCTTTAAAGACCAACTTTCAAATTGAGTGCTTCCCTACTGCTACACTACGTCTTTACCTATTACGTCACACGTGTCCCACAGCTGAGATCATTTCGAAGAAGTGGAGGAGAGCGAATCTTACAGTGCTTTCTCTCTCTCTCTCTATTTTTGGCACTTCATTTTATTCTCTCTCTCTCTCTCTCTCTCTCTCTCTCTCTCTCTCACACACACACAAAATGCTTATTTACATGTACAAAATATCCGTTAAGATTTAACTTCTCTTTCTCTCACTTTCTTGGTGTATATGTGTCTTCCTGTGCAGATGGTTGTATAAAAATAACTGGTAAATCTGAATTTACTTATATTACCCTCTATTTAACTAAAGAATTCTGATAAGAGGTTGAGAGGTATCCATTGAAAAACGAAAACACACACATAAATGATTTTCTGGAAATTTTCCACGGCATCATTCATGACGGCCAGGCGCTCTAACGACAGTTTGTCAAGTTCCTATTTGATCCGCGTAGTAAGAGCCAATTTGCTGACGCATGCGCGCTGTATAACAGCCAATCATTCTTGTTTACGCATCATTCATTAGAAAACATTGCGAAAATTTCATGTTTCTTTTAGTTTTATCTTCTTTAGAAATAATCGTTACATAACTGTTGTGACCTTGCCATTTTATTGAGCCCAGTTTCCATCGGTTAACTTCTTTATCTGGTTTTTGTTTTTTGGTGGAGATGCATAATGGTCGTGTCGGCTACTTTCTGTAAGCGCATTTATTTCACGGTAGAATAATTAGGTTCTCTTTCTAAGCCGAACTCAGCGGTTACTAAACAGCAGAGGATAAATTGCAGTAAAACAAAAGCAATTATAACAGTTCACTGAACTGACGAATCAAATAGAATTTGTCAAGTGACGAGCTTTGCCAAACTGCATGATAGAAAATTTCTAACGGGATCATCTATCTATCTATCTATCTATCTATCTATCTATCTATCCGATTCTTTTAATATATTAGCTTCTACTTGATTATTCGTTATCTATCTCAATTTATTCCTATAACTCTCATATCTTAGAACAACGCTTGTTCTGTTTCAATTTGCGAAGGGGTTACTTAAAAAATTATCGAACCAACTCACTTGTGAAACTTTTTATGTTTGGGCCGAGAACATTTTAGCCTACGCCTCGGATATTATTCAAAGCTATCTTTTATTCTATTCATTAATCTTTCTCTTACAGTTTGTTCATTTTCCCTCTGTTTGTCTCTCTCACTGTTTGTCTTGTATTTTTCTACTTATCTACGTCTTTATCCGTCTATTAATCTCTCTCTCGGTACATATATCTTTCTAAGACTATTCATCTATCTATCTATCTATCTATCTATCTATCTATCTATCTATATATATATATATATATATGAGTATATTCATTACTCGATCGCGCATTCATACTGTTAATCTCTATTTCCTTTGTCTCTATCTATTTTTATGTATGCGCAAATGTATGCTTACAATTTCGAAATTATATTGTATTTTCAGTATATTTTTTTATCTCTCTCTCTCTCTCTCTCTCTCTATCTTATTGCGTCTGCATTTAACTGAATTTTATTTTCTAGTTTTGTGTAAAGTGCGTGTGGAAAATTCAAATTATGTTTTGATGGAGTTTTCTTTCTATTCAGATCTAAAATGGATTTTTGATATTCCTCTCTTTCCTGCTTCAGTTAAATTTAAATAACAATGTCAAATTTTAATAATGACCATTTCAGGTCTGGCTAAAAGGTTAAGCGACTCATCGCATTCACAATATTTCTAGAAGTCGTCTTCGTGATTTCTGTTCGGCGTACAGATATAATATTCTTACCTTTTCGATTAGATCATACTTTAAACCTTTGGGAAAGTTTAAAATGACTTAATTTTTATCAGTTTTGCATCCTTTTAAAAATAGAAGATTATATATTTTTTTACCGTAAAGGCAACGTGCCTCGCAAAGATATGTGCCGTGTACGATGAAGTTGCTTTAGCTGGTAGAGCGGTACAGAGATGGTTTGCTAAGTTTAGAGTTGGTGATTGTAGCCTTATTGAGGAAGAAATATTATACAGACACCCTACTACAGATGAAGACCAAATCCAGACACTGAGAATAACTCGCATTACAAGACAGGTGGCGATTAACAGGAACACTAAATTTATCAAAATTCACCACCCTTAAAGAACCTAGTGAAGCTTGTGTGCTCAAATCGCTACGATGGTTGCGTACCCCATGATCTGAGTGAAAAAAGTATCTTTTAGATCCCATTCCTTCTGTGGTTTGCTGTATAAACGCAATAAAAATGCATCCTTTGTGATGGGTGATGGAAAATGGATAGTTTACAACAATGTTCAGCGAAAAAGATCCTGGCGTAATCGAGATGAGCTCAACTTTAGGCATTTCAAAAGCAGGTCTTCATCCTAAGAAAGTCATGCTGTGCATCTGGTGGGAATGGAATGGAATCCTGTACTATGAGCTTCTGCCAAGTAACCAGTCAATTGATTCTGAAAAGTACTGCTCGCATCTGCACGAATTAAAGGTAACAGCTCAAGAAAAACGACTAGAATTAACCAACAGCAAAGGTGATGTTTTCTATCAGGCTAGTGCCAGACCACGCGTTTCTTTGGTGACCCGGCATATGTTGTTGCTATTTGGATGAGATGTGTTACCCCACCCGCCATATTCACCTGATATATCTCCTTCGGATTTTCATTTATTCAGGTCCTTGTAAATTAATTTCAGTGCTAAAAACTTTAATTATTTGCATGACATAAAAAACAAAGTTCTTTGCCGAGAAAGCACCGAAATTCTGCGAAGATAGAATCTTTAAGTTGAAGGAAAAATGGAGAAAGATTGTGCTACAAAATGTTTCATATTATTTGAATAAATATTTAATGGCATAATTTTGGTTTGTGTTTTAATTTCCCTTTAAACTGGCATGAACTGGCTTATGATGATTCTTCTGGAGTTGAAGACATAAATGTTCACTTGTCAAACATCTTTAGGTTGCCAAGTACAATGACATCGATATTTTTGTTACATACAACAATCTGTGAAAAAGATTCTTCATAACTTCTGATCCAAGAAAAAGAAAATTTTAAATTATTATTGCTAAACTGACAATTGAGATCCAGTTTCGCCATATTAACATTAGTTTTGGTTCCTTTTACTATTTTAAAGCAATCACAAAAATTATGGCTCAGATTTCGAAATTTTATTGCTGTTTCAGTATCTGTCTATATATCCCAGCCTATTGTTATCTATCTATCTATCTATCTATCTATCTATCTATCTATCTATCTAAATATCTATCTAAACAATTTTTCCGTTTTGTGTTGTAAGATATTGTTTTGAAAAATGATTACGAAAACCAAAACAAGTAAATTATTATATAAAACTTGAATGCTTGGAGACCAAAACAAAAAAAAGGTAAAATCTCACTTCTGTTGTCAGTAAAACCTCGAAATTATTCTCCCTTATTTGAGAAAAAAAACATGGCTTCATTTGTGTACAATACTGACTTCAAATCTTACTGCGTAGATAAAAATACCACGTGATAAACATGAATTATTTTCTTTTTCATCTCCAAACAATCTGCAGTCGTCAAAACAATTTAAGTTATCAGCAAAATTACCTGATTTTCAAGCATCATGTGCTAGAAATTTGAATATAAATAAAAAAGTGATTTCATGATCTTTTTTCTCTTTGTATTTCTTTCAGCGGTGGATATTGTGGCAAACATTTCATTTGTCCTGTGCGTTTCAATATTTTATTCAAATAAGAAGAATTACAATGATTATAAAACTAATAACTGGAAAGTCATGAATCTATGATCGAATAAAAGTATTTTATGATTATCCCGAAATCTTAGATTACAGCATAAAAACGGATTGAATTTAGGCTTGATATTTAGACCGTTTCATTTTTTTATGCAATAAATTTCAAAAAAAAAAAAAACTTAATGTTAAAGTAAGTAAGGATAAAAAACGAAATCCAGTAACGAAGTCAATAAAAATTTAGTCAATTGAATTGCATAGAAACTTTATCCTAATAAGATGAAGGCAACAATAAAGCAGAAAAAAATATTATATACTGATCTATTTCCCATTCTCTCTAATATCTTCAAGTTTTCTACTTGAGTTAAATTGAGAACTTATTCCTTGGTAATAATTGTGCAAGTAGATAATATTGCTTACCAAAATTCATTTTTGTATTCATTGGTTGCAATTACAGCGTTATTTAGATTTTTGTTACGCATAAAAATGAGTTTTCGTTTAAATGCAACTTTCTTAAGCCTTTAGGAATTCAGTGTTGTCAGAAAGTTTTAACGTGATCTTCCATTTCCAAACAACCCCAAACATAACCTCTCCACCCCCTTACTGATGCTTCGACTAAATAAGCTTCCGTTTTTCATCCTACCACAATCATCGCCATCAATCTCACCTACTGTCAAGGCCATCCAGCGTTGCTCTACACAAGATCGTGAAAAGTACTTACTGAAAATCCAGCCCGGTTGGCACGTTTGATGAAGTCATTCGACCTCAAAAAAGAGTGAACAATTGCTTTGGCGTACGTTCCTTAACTCTTTTCTACGTGATATTATGATATTATAGGCACATTTGGAATCCTAATGGCGATGAATAACACTTGACAACTCTTATGTGGATGCTTAATTTTCAATTTTCTTTCCATTCGTCGAGTGAAAATCAATGATTTCTGCATATTCCAAATTGTCAAATCACGCAGAGTATGCAATAAGGTTTGCGACAATTTTGTTTTTGAACGGGTGATAATCTGCTAAAAGGAAATCAGGAAATATTTAATGTTGATTTATGATCCTGAAAAATGTGAACAACTTTTGCTTTTTGCTCAAATATGTTTCACATCCCATGTTGCACAAAAATTGGAATAGTGGCAGTGAAGTAATATATCCAAAATGTCTGCCAAAAGTTCTGCATTTCTTGTAAATGTTGTTAATACTGTTTATTATAATAGTATCTATAAAAAAAACGCATAAACAATAAATATGCTAAAATAATTGTCGGACTTAGGCCATTTCATAATATATGATGTCATTTGTTTACGTTAAGATAAACTTTGAGCAGATATGAGCGTTCGAGAGAAATCATGGGAAATTTGTAGTTTAAAAACAGTAATTTAACATTGCTATCCAGACGCTTCCATTGTAGCTAAGTGGCATAGCACGTCAGACGATATGACGTTCCGTGTAGGATACAGGTTCGAGTCCTGTCGGAGGACACATATTTTCTTTGAGATTTCGTGGGCATTTAGGCTGGTTAATGCTGTTTATTATAAACAGATCATTTATTTAAATATTTGTATCTATAAAAAATAGCGTATAAGCAATAGATATATTAAGATAGGTAATTCATTTAGTCTTTAAATACTTGTTTCATGCATGTTTCAAGTATTATCTATAAAATATTTTATTAATATGAACTCAATTACTTCATTGTTCAATCATCAAAGTATTTATTTTGGCATTCTATTACCATACTCATTATATCTTTGTGCAATGAATGTTTGTCCAGGTCAAATAATGCCTTTTAAATCACACCAAATACACGAAATAGATGTTTCCACAATAGATTATATTTATACATTAGATTCACTATCTTTTCCTTTTCCTTGTCTTTTCATATTGAATAAATAAGAAATAGCAAGGAAAAATGAAGAGAGCAATAATCGTTATATATTGCAATAAGAAAAATGTTTAACAACAAAGGTATGAATAGATATCAATTAATTCACAATACCAATGAAGGATTTACAAAATATCCAATTAAGTATTCACTATTACAAGTTTGTTTCAAAGAAACTACAAAAGCAAATATGACATAACCATCGAAAGAGTGGATAAAGAGAAAAATGCATTCATATTTTTCAGCAAAAATACAAATCTGTATTTAAACATTTACCAAGACTGGAATCGGTAAGAAAAGAGATTAGCATATTTAAAGAGATTTTTAGAAAACTTGTGTAAGAACATTTTTGGAAAGTCTCAAAATAAGTCGTTCCATTAAAATCTGAAACGTTTACCATACGATCAGAAAGCTTATAAGGAATTTTGTTCAAAAACAAATTTTATATCAATTTTGAAAAAAAAAAGAAAATAATGTAATGTCATAAAAAGTTTAAAAATAAACTTAAAAGATTTTAATCTCAATACCCAAGAGATGATTTAACATTCGATCATGTTCGCGCGTTGAACAAATCTGTATTTGTCTGCGCATTCACATATTTACATATTACCTTATTGCACAAGCGTCAAATAACCAGTTATGGATTTAAAAAAAATTTAAATATGAACTTAAAACTTCTGTTTCGTTTTAATGTTTAATTTAGTCTGTATAGATTTATGTAACTTATCTGGTTGAAAATTGGTAATTTTATATTTTTATATTTGATCTGTGTGAATCTCACTACTAAAAACGCAGTGGAAATTGAGCAAACGTTAAGTCACTACACATTTATCATCGTCAGTAACTGCCTTGTCGAAAATGACCTTTTTCATATACCAGGAAAATAGACCTTGACCGATGTGGGTTTCCGTATTTTCAGGTGACATTCAAATTTTGAGTTCCTGAAATTTACCTAAGATTTCTGAACAATGAACAAGAATAGACTTATTGCAATAAAGAGCTGAAGAAAGTTGAAAGACACTTCTCAAATTTCCCTAATACTGTGCAAAAGATGTCACTGAGAACTTTTTTCATCAGGATAATATATTTGACAGTTGGCTCATAGACTAATTGCAATATTCTGGTGAATTGCAAGATTGATATTTATGGATGAATTATTGCGTGATTCAGATTAACGACCAGTATGTTTGCATCACAAAAGAGACAATCTCCAGTGAAGACGATGAATAAAATTATCACTTATCATGAATAGTGAAGTGAAAACAGTTTATCTCAGTTGATTGAATATAGGTTTCATTTCGAAATTAGAGAATGTTATTGAATCTGACCTGCAGTTAAAGAAAGCTAGGTAGCAAAACGATTCTGAATAAATCATCGTATAATAGTTCAGCTGTCTCTTTATGCTACACTAACGGCATTCATTGATAGAACAGTGTTAATATCAGTGGAAATTTACAAATTATTTTTTTATTGAAACATTTTTCAAAGAGATTTCTGAAGTCCACTAGATGTTATTGCTCTTTCTAATAATGATAGGAATTTCCTTACAAACTTTCATAAAAGGCATAGGAAGAGTTTGTATTGAAAAGTGCACATAGCATTCTTCATTTGCATCTGTACTATCTCTTCAATTTTCACTAATAATTTTTCTGGATTAATCGTGTCTTTGAAAGCAGACATTTTACAGACATCATTGGAGGTTGCTATGCTAAAAAGCTCAATAAAAACACCCGATTCGACACCCAACTTCATTAATTTAACAGCAAGTAATCTATCTATCTATCTATCTATCTATCTATCTGAGTTTGTTATGGGATTTATAAAATAAAAATAAAATAAACTCTATTTTTTTATTTTTGACACTAATTTTATTGAACAGTATGTTTCTCGCTTTGTTCTACTGTCTTCAACAATCACTTCAGTCAATTCCATATTTCCATCCTCGCAGAATATTTTATCTTTCTGAGTGAAGAACTACAAGGACACATGGCACAGTGGATAAAGGCGTTAGTTAGATCCAGTGACAGGACCCAAAGAATCTGAGTTCAATACCAGGATAAGGCAGTGGAGAACTTTCAGAGGGAAATTAACAGGAGATAACTGATAACTGACATCCATTAAACAGTCTACCCCCAGTAAGCAGAATAAAGCGTTCAGTTCGACATTCCAACCACTTGAAGAAGGCCGGAGCGTACAACGTTGAAACGTTGTAATAAATATGGCGAAAAAGATGAGGACAATAGTCCGAATAATGTAAATAATGTACATAATACCTCATTTAAGAAATATAGTCAGATACTGAAAGGCCGAAACGTTGTGATAAATATGGCGACAAACATGAGGACAATAGTCCGAATAATTTAAATAGTGTACATAATACCTCATCTCAGAAATATAGACAGATACACAGTAGGTTTCCTTTCACAATCGTCGAGTTAATTGAATTCTATTCTTAAAAGAAGTCTGTAGAGTTCGGAATAAATATAATCTGCAGAATATGGTAGATAGGTGAAGAATGTTTAGCCAAACTACAACAATGTTTGTCTAATCATCAAAGAAATATCCAATTTTGTATTATCCTGTTGGAAATAGTTTCTGTTAATTAATGTCGAACTTTTTTTAATCGATCGTTGTCTTTAGTTAATGTAATTGACAGCAGTACTTGTTCGAATCAATCGTTTCAGTAAGGTGTTCATTGTAGAGGACATTCTAACAATCTTACCACATACAGATTATCAATTTTTTTGAATGAAGCCAGATCATTGGTATGGTTAGCACTACTCGGGTACCTACGTTATTAAAAAGTATCAATATTGTTATTATCCGTCATAGTTTGTTTCAAAAAAGGTTTTCAATATTTTTAAGTAGCGAATTTTACATGAAATCACGGTTCAGCACGTCATTTTTTGTATGTGGAAACCACAAATCAAAGTGACTAACATAAACAATTATCTACAACGCTTGAGTTAGATATTTTGATTATATCAGTCCACTACTACTGATTATTCTCAACTAATGTCGTAAATAAGCTGACCAATCTGACCATCGATCATCATTCAACAAGAAATCTCCTGCAAAGAAACCTGAAATTATTATTATTATGATTATTAATAATAATAATAATAATAATAATAATATCTGCTGTCTCTCTCTCTCTCTCTCTCTCCCTTGTATGTATATATATATATATATATATATATATATATATATATATGTATGTATGTATACGTATATAATTTACATGTGTATGTATCCGCATTGACAGGGATCATATTGTATTGTTTTTTTTTTAAGTCTATACTAAAATCTATTTATCACCCTTGGAGTGGTCACTCCGACTTATACTAAGTTAAAACTTAGTATAGTCTATCCCACTGGATACCACACAATCTTTTGAACTATTCTACCTTCGTTATATCAATAAATCCACAATCTCATGGGCGTGCTCTTGGATCTTCTTCGAGAGTCGTCCTAAAGCTGGTAACCTGAACATAATTACCCCTTGACGGTCAAGGTTAAAACGCATCTCTACCAATTTCAATGAATACGAATAATATTTCATACCGGATCGCCCGTCAACCGGGACAACAAGGGCCGCGTCCCTCAGAGAGGAACCAGTCTGAGGACGAAAAGTCTGTCACTGGAACAAACTCTTCCACACACGAAGAGACACTTGGTCACCAAACCCGGATTATTGCCAACCTTGGACCAAGTGACTCAATACCAAATCGACTAATAAAAAGTAAACGAACGAAATGGAGCCGCGAAGAGTATCGACAAGTCATGACATCCTTCTTCACTGCACTCGAAAACCCAGCAAAGAACACCACCAATCAAACATACCAAATATGGAGAAGTACGGTGGGAAATGATATAAGATCTAACCTCAATCCAAACATGCTTGCCAAAGTCCGTAGGGACATCATGCGAAACAACAGACTCTCAAAGGCAGAAATAGATAAGATAAAATTAGATATAAGACAAAATACTCTGACCCATCACTCGAACTCTATTGAGACGAATGTAGAAATAAGGAATGCAACAGAGGATGAGGTGGATGCTAAAGCGAATGAAATACGAAATAATCTCCCAGGAAATGAAACCCAAGACTCTACCTTAAACACAACCTACAGTCCTCCAGAAAATGTACCTGGAGTTATCTTCAGTGACAATAAGTTAGAATTCCTTGAAAACCACGAAGCTGAAATCAGCGAAGCGAAAAATGACGTCATCCAAGTACTCAGCAGAGTAACTTTCATACAATTGTCAGACAGAGACCAGCTCCCGAAAATCCATATGACGAATTCCACCAAGCACATTGTGAAAATATACAATGCTGCTCTGGAAACACTGTTAACAGATAAACCACCGGGAAACATCACAGAAGTTAACAACGTCATATACGCCACAGCTTTAGCAGCGACTCGGAAGCTTGGGGTCAAGACAATAAATAAAATTAACAGACACAGAGAACCAGCTTGGAAAACCCAACTGATTCGAGAAATACAACTAATCAGATGTGAGCTTTCTATATTAGATGAGCTCACTAGAAACCCTAATATTTCCACACGTAAATGCAAAAAGATCAAGCGGAAATATAACATTAAATCCCTAATTGATATTCCATCAATCAAGGAAATGCTGAAGCAGAAACTTCAGCTAAAGGCGCAGAGAACAAGACGATACGAAAAACGTTGTAGGTTCTATCGCCAAAATAAAATATTCCGAACAGATCTTAAGAAATTTTACAGGAAAATTGGAAAAACACCTATAGATGTCGAAAGGCCACCATCGATTGATAATGTACAGACATTTTGGGAAAATATCTGGAGCAGCCCAAAGGAGTATAACCCAAATGCAGAGTGGATACGGCGTGAAGAAGGACGACTGCTGGATACACCTCTGCAAGAATGGGAAAATATATCCACAGATGATGTTAGGCAAGCTCCAACGAAATCCCCAAAAATGGAAATCCCCAGGAAATGGCAAGTTTCCCAATTTCTGGCTGTATCATCTCTCATCTACCCATGAAATTCTTGCAAAAACATTATCAACGCTTGTAAATAATCCCAATAAAATCCCGGAATGGATTACTGAAGGTATTACGCACCTCATACCAAACACAACTGAAACAGAAGACCCGAAAAATTATAGACCGATAACATGTCTTTCCACAACGTATAAGTTGATCACGTTTGTACTGACGAACCGTACTTATTCCTTTTTCGAAACAAACAGCATTCTCCCACTGGAACAGAAGGGATGCAGAAGAGGTTCATATGGCTGCAAGGATCAACTTCTGATAAATAAAATGATCCTAGAAAATTGCAGGAGACGACGCAGGAATCTAAGTGCAGCGTGGATTGATTATCGTAAAGCCTTTGATAGTGTTCCACATTCTTGGATCCTTAAGACTTTGGAAATGTACAGAGTCTCCCCTGTGGTATTAAATTTCCTTAAGCGCAACATAGGAATGTGGAGCACCAAACTATACCTTAGTCACACCGGGGGCACTGCCATATCCAACCGTCTGAATATCCGACGTGGAATCTTTCAAGGAGACTCTCTGTCACCCCTTCTGTTTTGTTTATCCTTAATCCCTCTTACACATGAACTGAACAACATTAGATGTGGTTACAAAATAAATAAGAAAATATTCAATCACCTACTCTACATGGATGATCTCAAACTCTTTGCCAAAGACGACAAAGAGTTGAAAGGCCTCCTCAATATTGTAAAATACTTCAGTGACGATATAGGTATGGACTTCGGATTAGATAAATGTGCAAAAGTAACTTTCAAGAAAGGTAGAATTACAGAAACACCCTTAATAGATTTAGATTTTGTCACAAAGATTAGGGAACTGGAGCATGATGAAGCTTATAAGCACCTAGGAATTAGCGAAGGAGATGGCATACAACACCCCCAAATGAAGGAAAAAATAAGAAAAGAGTACTACAGGCGTGTACGTCTGATACTAAATACTGAGCTAAACTCTAAAAACAGGATATCAGCCATAAACACATTGGCTGTCCCTGTGGTGCAATACAGCTTTAATGTCCTTAACTGGACCATAGCTGAAATTAAGCGAATTAAACGCCAAAACAAGAAAGCTTTTCACTTGCTATCGCATGCATCATCCCAAAGCTGATGTTGATCGTCTGTATGTGCCCAGATCCGAAGGAGGCAGAGGGTTAGTTCAACTAGAACTGTCCTATAAAACTACAACAATTGGCCTCCAAAGATACTTGGAAACTACAGAAAACTGGATGATGGTATGCGTCAAGGAACATGAAAGTAGTAAGCGTCTTTACTCCGTAATGAAAGAAGCCAACAAATTCCAAATGGAGTTTCAAATGGGCGTAGAGATGCAACTACAGCACAATACACCGGCTGAAACAGCAAAATACCTAAAAAAGACAGCAAAGACGAATGCAACCGACCAGATACAGAAGCGATGGCAAGATAAACCGCTTCATGGCCAATACTCTGCCCGTACCAAACAAGCTGACGTAGACAAAACCCGTACCCATCAGTGGCTACGTAGTGCAGGGTTGAAAGCGGAAACTGAAGATTGTAATAATAAAGTAATAATAATAATAATAATAATAATAATAATAATTAAGAGAAGAACGCGGTTTAAGAAAAAATACAATGTTTGACAATGTTAAACAATATTTCAATATAATGTCTTCAAGTTACATTTTAAAAAATCTTTCAAGTATAAAAATATATAAATCTACAAAAAAAGATAAGTCTTTGTACAAATGCTGCTTGTCTTGTAATGAATGAATAAATGACAAGATGAACAAGATCAACATCATATTA